GTCAGATTTATATATATAGATACTAGTGTGTACCCGCGACTTCGTTCGCGTCGGATTAATCATTTGTAATGGTGATGATCAAGCAAAGCAAGAATTTCCATTAACATACAAACTAAGATAAAATTTTCTTACATTTATGTCAGCATGAGAAAAAACAATATGGCGATATTATTATATAACTTGGTATAATATTTGAGGGGTAGTTTCATCTCGTTGGAATTTGACTTTCGAAAAATCCGTTTGCCAAAAATAAGCTTTTTACGTCAAGCAGTTTAAAAGCAGAATCGTGATTAATCAATTACCCATCTTGGAACACCCTGTATGATTTTTAAAAATTTCAAAATATGTAAAAACAAAATCAATTATGCGTGTCCAAGTGTTTTTCCCGAAAGGCTCGCCGTATTTAAAAACAAATATTGTAATATTTGTGGGTCGTTTCACCCGCTTGGAATTTGAAATTCGAAAACCCCTCTTTATCGAACCTCTACACACCCCACAGTCAATCCTGTTTGCCAAAAATCAGCTTTAAACGTCAAGCAGTTTGAGCAGAATCGTGATTACCAATGGCCATATTTGCTGAAACACCCTGTATATATTTTTAAAAATCTTAAAATATGTAAAAATAAATAAAATATACTGTGTTTAAGCGTTTTTTCAGAAACTTGACCGTTTTTAAATAAAAATATTGTAATATTCCACCCCCCTTTTTACCCCCTTAGGGGATGAATTTAAAAAAATCCTTTCTTATCTTACGTAAACATCATAAAAGGAACCCCTGTGCAAAATTTCAGCTTTCTAGGGTCAAGGGTTTGGTCTGGGCGTTGATGAGTCAGTATCAGTCAGGACAGTCAGATTTATATATATAGATACTAGTGTGTACCCGCGACTTCGTTCGCGTCGGATTAATCATTTGTAATGGTGATGATCAAGCAAAGCAAGAATTTCCATTAACATACAAACTAAGATAAAATTTTCTTACATTTATGTCAGCATGAGAAAAACAATATGGCGATATTATTATATAACTTATATATATATATATATATATATATATATATATATATATATATATATATATATATATATATATATATATATATATATATATATATATATATATATATATATATATATATCTATATATATAAATCTGACTGTCCTGACTGATACTGACTCATCAACGCCCAGACCAAACCCTTGACCCTAGAAAGCTGAAATTTTGCACAAATTTTGCACAGGGGTTCCTTTTATGATGTTTACGTTAAAAATTCATCCCCTAAGGGGGTAAAAAGGGGGGTGGAATATTACAATATTTTTTATTTAAAAAACGGTCAAGTTTCCGAAAAAACGCTGAAACACGTATATTTTATTTTCTTTTTTTACATATTTTCAGATTTTTTAAAAATGTATACAGGGTGTTTCGAAAAAATCTGGTCATTGATTAATCACGATCCTGCTTAAAGCGCTTGACGTAAAAATCTGATTTTTGGAAAACGGATTGACTTTAGGTGTAGAGGTTCGATAAGAAGGGATTTTTCGAAACTCGAATTCTAAGGGGTGAAACCGCCCCTCAAATATTAGAATATTTTTTATTTAAAAAACGGTGAAGTTTCCGAAAAACGCTTAAACACGTATATTTTATTTTCTTTTTTACATATTTTAAGATTTTTTAAAATGTATACAGGGTGTTTCTGAAAAATCTGGTCATTGATTAATCACGATCCTGCTTAAAGCGCTTGACGTAAAAAGCTGATTTTTGGAAAACGGATTGACTTTAGGGTGTAGAGGTTCGATAAGAAGGGATTTTTCGAAACTCGAATTCTAAGGGGTGAAACCGCCCTCAAATATTAGAATATTTTTATTTAAAAAACGGTGAAGTTTCGAAAAACGCTTAAACACGTATATTTTATTTTCTTTTTTACATATTTTAAGATTTTTAAAAATGTATACAGGGTGTTTCTGAAAAATCTGGTCATTGATTAATCACGATCCTGCTTAAAGCGCTTGACGTAAAAAGCTGATTTTGGAAAACGGATTGACTTTAGGGTGTAGAGGTTCGATAAGAAGGGATTTTTCGAAACTCGAATTCTAAGGGGGTGAAACCGCCCCTCAAATATTAGAATATTTTTTATTTAAAAAACGGTGAAGTTTCCGAAAAACGCTTAAACACGTATACTGTATTTTGTTTTTTTACATATTCTAAGATTTTTTAAAAATGTATACAAGGTGTTTCGAAAATCTGGTCATTGATTAATCACGATCCTACTTAAAGCGCTTGACGTAAAAAGCTGATTTTTGGAAAACGGATTGACTTTAGGGTGTAGAGGTTCGATAAAAAGAGTTTTTTCGAAACTCGAATTCTAAGGGAGTGAAACCAAACCAAATATTAGAATATTTTTTGTTTAAAAACGGTCAAGTTTCCGAAAAACGCTTAAACACGTATATTTTATTTTCTTTTTACATATTTTAAGATTTTTTAAAAATGTATACAGGGTGTTTCGAAAAATTGATTAATTGGTCATTGATTAATCACGATCCTGCTTAAAGCGCTTGACGTAAACAGCTGATTTTTGGAAAACAGATTGACTTTAGGGTGTAGAGGTTCGATAAGAAGGGATTTTTCGAAACTCGAATTCTTAGGGGGTGAAACCGCCCCTCAAATATTAGAATATTTTTTATTTAAAAAACGGTCAAGTTTCCGAAAAAACGCTTAAACACGTATATTTTATTTTCTTTTTTTACATATTTTAAGATTTTTTAAAAATGTATACAGGGTGTTTCGAAAAATTGATTAATTGATAATGAATTAATCACGATCCTGCTTAAAGCGCTTGACGTAAAAAGCTGATTTTTGGAAAACGGATTGACTTTAGGGTGTAGAGGTTCGATAAGAAGGGATTTTTCGAAACTCGAATTCTAAGGGGGTGAAACCGCCCCTCAAATATTAGAATATTTTTTATTTAAAAAACGGTCAAGTTTCCGAAAAAACGCTTAAACACGTATATTTTATTTTCTTTTTTTACATATTTTAAGATTTTTTAAAAATGTATACAGGGTGTTTCGAAAAATTGATTAATTGGTCATTGATTAATCACGATCCTGCTTAAAGCGCTTGACGTAAAAAGCTGATTTTTGGAAAAGGGATTGACTTTAGGGTGTAGAGGTTCGATAAGAAGGGATTTTTCGAAACTCGAATTCTAAGGTGGTGAAACCACCCCTCAAATATTAGAATATTTTTTATTTAAAAACCGGTGAGTTTTTCGGAAAAACTCTTAAACATGTATATTTTATTTTGTTGTTTTACATATTTTAAGGTTTTTTAAAAATTTATACAGGGTTTTATATATATATATATATATATATATATATATATATATATATATATATATATATATATATATATATATATATATATATATATATATATATATATATATATATATATATATATATATATATATATATATATATGTATATATATATATTAATATAAACAAAATTGCTATTGTCACTTAAATATATTTATCATCATCATTTAAATAATACCACATACCATATACAGTATATCCCCGAATTGTCTTTACAAGAGGAAAAACTTTTTTATTGTTGACATTTTGAGAAAAATCCGTTCCTCATTAAAAATTTTGCTTGTTCTAAAATGGTTAATCCCGTTTTTTCTTTTCCAACTTTCCATACCGTTGAATTTTTTCCTGTTCCTAAAGTCTTTTAAATTGTTGAAGTATCACGTTTTCCTACAACTATTATCATCCTATCCGTAGCTTTTAACTAAATAAAGTTTTTGCTTCATTAACATTTTATAACAGCAAAAAATATGACATTAATTAAAATGCTCTCAATAATAATCTATCAAAGTTATATTTTATTATTGTTTCAAAGGTTATTTTTGAATCATTCATTTCTACATTTGATTTTCATTTTATTAGACTGGAATTGAACACTGTTTTTTAGTATTTTAGCACTCTAATTATATTCTGTACACTGCAAAATCCCTAAAACAGTAGGGTACATGTTGAAAGTTGGCATTGTTGCAAATTACGTTTAGAATGCTCCACATTTATCACGTGATGACTGGGTCACGTTTAAGCGTAAATAGTGACCCTGTGATCGAAAACTATCCACTTTAATACTAAGTTTTACGCATCATATTCGACAAAACAATATCAATTCTAATATAAACTTTGTCACCCCCGTTCATTTAGCCTATTTACGAAGGATTGAGAGTAGAACTTTGTAATATCCATTCACAAACGATGCCTAATATAGTCCATTCAGCGACTAAGAGAAGATTTCGACACAGGACATCCAAAAAATGGCAAATAATGAAATGTGTCTACGTATTTAAATGACAGACACAACTGTCAGGGATCCTCCCGTTGGACAGCCTTGGACAGCTGGACAGTTTTGCAGCCTTTTTTCCTAAGTAGCTCAAATTTTGAAAAACTTTGAAATATATGGACCTATTTATTTTATTTAAAAGCATTTATAGAAAGTCTCAGTTTTTCATTTAAAAATAATAATATAATTATTATCCCACTTTAAAACATACTAAAAAGTAAAAAACAATATTTGATATTATTTAGTGTTGCAAAACTTTCAAAAATTAAAACTAGCAAAAAAGTTCTTATTCTATGGTATTACAAATAAATTATAAATCGATCGATTCGGTCTGCAACAACTATTAAATGACCCATCACAACTATACTGCACACGTGCCTAGAACTGTGTACCATGAAATAACCATTTTTTTTAATTATGGGGGATACCTTATCAAAAATAATGTATGAAAAAATAGAATCGAAATCTATAACTTTCGTTTTTTCTCCAATATGTCCGAAGCTACTCGGAATTTCTGAACGACGTATTATTAGGCACATAATAATTAACACTAAACGTCCTGGTATTTTTGAGATCCCAGTGGTAGGGATCGAATTTAAGTTACTCTGTATAATCAATTTTTTAATTAAAGAACTTTTATTTTAGTCTCGTTGCCGTCTTAGCGGACCCTTATGATATTAGAACATGGAATGTTTGTGGTTTACCAAGGGATATGGTGTCAACCGAAAATGCTATAATAGTAACTCAGACGAGCCGATGGCCTCTTATGATAGATCCTCAAGAGCAAGCCAACAGGTACCGTCGGCAATGTGGGCATGATCGAAAAAAAAAACGGCGCCCAGGAAATGAACATCGATGATATTCCCATATAATTTTACATATAAAATAACAGAGATCCCCATTTCATAGCCACCGCTGACGCCGTTTTTTTTTGATCATATTGTAAAATAAATTATATTTATACAGGGTGAATCGTATATAAGTGCAAATATTTTCAGGGCTGGTAGATCTCGATAAAAAAACATATTTTTTCCTTATCGTTTTTCAAATAGGCCTAAGTCCAAAATAACAATTTATTGTATTTTTAAAAACAATTATGAGGCACCGGATTGTTTCTGTATTTGCATTAATTACTTTTAGTGCTGCAACTTTTTAACTATATGGCCGCAACCATGACAATATCAGAGATTAATATATCATACTGTGGGAAAATTTGCATTGAACAGGCAGTTCTAAAAATTTTCCAAAATGTGCAGGAAAATTGAAAAGAAAATGCAAGATTTTCATTTTTTTTGCAAAAAGAACTCATAAACGTTTTTCTGCGGTCGAAATATACCACCTCTAAAATATTTCCACTTATCTAAGACTATAATTGTGGATTAGGTGGATCCGGCAGCTGGAAGCGAAAAACAATTTAAAAATAATTAAATTGACTAACTCAAATTTCATGAGAATACTGGAAAATGCTATAAGGTTGGGTGAAGCTGTGTTGCTTGAAGAAGTGTATGAAGCCCTCGATCCAACTTTGGGACCTATATTGTTAAAGCAAACTTTTGTACAGGCAAGTTTTAAGAGAGTGAACACCCTGTATTAATACTGCACAACCAATGATAAATAACAATTATGCAATCCTATAGGCTTGGCGCATTCTCCGCCGGTGTTGCTGCCATCGGAGAATTCATAAACAGCCGATTAAATAAATACACGGATTTAAATAGCGAGTACACGAAAATTTTGTTATAATATTATCTGAAAAGTATTAGCAAGTGCAATTTATAAAGAAGATAAAAAATAGAAATGTAAATCTTTTAATCTCTTCAGACGGTCTAACATGTATTATAATTTATTACCCAAGCTAATAAAACTTTTTAGATTAGTTTAGACATGCCGGCTGCTTCAACTAGGGTAGCGATCATAGTTACTTACGTGCAATTTTGGCTAGTTCGAACATAACTAGGGCTATCTGGACATAACGAAATTTTTTGAATGTGCATAATTATAATTTTAGAACACGTCCATAAAAAATTAAGTTGTTTAATTTAACTAGTTGATTATAACAAAGTTTGGTATTAATATTTATTAAATTATATTTTATCCTCCTAGTATTTTTTGTTTCGTCGAGCCGCCTGAATTCATTTTTGCTTTTGATCAAATGGATGTGATAAAGCTGAAAAGTTCTAAAATGTTATTCATCGGGAAAGTGGTATTGAGTGTCATTGCACCCAACAACCACGAAATTACCCTCTCCTTTACGTGTTACCATTTTTTCGGCAATTTTATTAACATTTGAAATTGGCACAACACAACTCGTCACCCAATTTGGGTTCTTTTTCACTTAGTTTTTACTACCTGAACACACAAACACAAATATAATATCATATATATAATATCATATCATATATACAGGGTGTCCCAGAATTAAGTGCAAGTATTTTAAGGGGGGTAGATCTGGCCAAAAGAAAAAAAAAATTCTCTACTATTTTTCAAATAAGTCCAAAATAATCGAATTATTTTACTTTGAAAATTTAAACAAAAAATCCTTTTTTGCTTAAATTTTGAGAACCACTGGATCTTTTCTGGATTTTATTTCTTGTAAATTTAATCTAATACCTATGTTGCCATATTATCAAAAAATTATGTTTTTAACTAAAAACTAAAAAAAAATTCCAAAAAAAATCAAAAAATTTCGAATTTTCATAAACATTTTTTTGGCGAAAAAAAACTCTTATGCGTGCTTCTGGGGTTAAACTATACAACCAGTTAAAATACTTGCACTTATTTCTGGGACACCCTGTATAAATACATCAGACACACTACCTGAGTATTTTATAGTTTCAATAACTGCACAATAAAAACTAAAATACTTAAATATATTATAAAGCCACGATTTTAATATTATTTCAATGCGATCAACGTAAACGGCATGTAAACGGTAACTGGCACTGCGTCAGATACAGAGCCGGAAAGTTCTGATTTCTATTGCTGTTGAAATTTTTAAAATTTGAATGTATTTCAGTACATCAATTCTATAAGTGAGGGAAAAAACTTTTTTATTATTAACTTTTTGTGGAAAATGTATTCTTCATAAAAGTTTTTGCTTGATCTAAAATTGTTAATCCCGTTTATACTTTTCCAAATTTCCATACCGAGAGAAAAATAAATATATATATAAAAATATAAGTCCGAAAAATCAAAATGCGTTTCCATTTCTACATTCTAATATTTAAAACAATGATAATTTGTAGAGCGGAAGGAGTTTAATCCATCTAGGAGATTCCGATATAGAGTATGATTCTAATTTTAAGCTCTACATAACCACAAAATTACCAAATCCGCATTATCTTCCAGAAGTATGTATTCGAGTTACTATAGTTAATTTTACAGTTACACGATCTGGATTAGAGGATCAGCTTTTGGCGTAAGTAGAGTTTTATTTTTAAGCTTTATTAAGAACCTAGAAATTAGTGGAATAAATTAGTGGTTTCAATGAGCGTAGAAGTTTGTTCCTCTAATTTCAATGTAAGCATACAGAGCATTAAAATTAGTGGCAGTAATACTAGTAGTGAATAATAGGGACATACTCCTCATTTGAAAGTGTCTCTCAAGGACCCAGCAGCGTAAGGGAGCGTTCACTCAATAGGGACGTAAAAAATTATCGATATACAAATTTTCGATATTAAAACAAGTAACTTTACACCCTCCTCCTCCCACTCTACTACATGCTTGTAAAGATGTCTGATTGAAAATAATATATATTTCGATATTAAAAAATTAGTCGTTTCGTTCCTCTCTTCTTCAGAGAGGGAGGGTAATATAAAAAAACAGAGAGATTCATGCTTATCCCCACTTACTTTCGCCCCCACTATATCAATGTCCAGTCATATATAGTAAAAACATCCAATAGTAAGTATTAGGTCAGAATGACGAAAGATAATCATTTACTCTCTCAACAGACCAGTTTTACTGTTCAACATCAATCTATACTTAGTGTATTACAATCTCCTCCTAGGGAAGAAGAAGAATCTATAACCTGCGAACAAGATACAAAAGAAAATATAGAGAAAATTAAGCGACTGTTTTGTGCAATTTGTCACGACATGGTTGATTGCTACGAAACTTGTGTGCTAAATACTTGTTCCCATTTTTTTTTGTTTAAACTGTATATTAACATGGAACGATGTACGTTATGATTCAAAAATGACAACTAAGTGTACACTATGTGGTTCATATTATAAATATTTAGTGCAGTTTCGAAAAGATATAATTAGATATTACTTTGTCCAGAGTATAAAAAGGATATTAAAATAAATGTGACTATAAATATTTGCAGTTTTATTTCACATCATGTAAAAGTTGGATGTAATAGTAATGTAAAAATTGATTTGACAATAAATATTATTTAAAAAATAAGTTCTAGAGTTTTTATCCAATGTTCCCATCAATTAAACACTTCATTTAATTTTAAACACACACACACACAAGCAACCTTTTTAAACACACACACACACAACACATCCAGTTTAATATATTATTATCACCAGCTTTTATCGATATTTTAAAACATTGCTCATCTCTAATATAAAATTTAAAAAACAAAACCAGTACCGCGAAGATATAGGTTCAACTTATAGGTTCAACTTATAGGTTCAACGATCTCAGGGTCAACCTGTTAGCTAGGAAGCAGACAAACAAACGAGACGACTCTGCAGACGAGGTAAAACTCTCGGTCGTACCACTTGCTTGCGAAAGACAAAAAACGGTACTTAAATTTCGCGTCCCTTTGACGTAAGTTTTAGTAAACATTATCTGTGTCAGTTAAAGTTAATATATATATAGATTTGGTAAGTTATAGATTTATACCTATTCATCTAATAGAATTAAGACTTTTTTTATTCAAAAAGTTGTCCAGTTTTTAGTTATATTTTACACTTAAAATAAAAATAACATTCTTCAAATTTAACTCGTTATAAACATTATACGATATAAACAAAATAGTAACAACAGTAAAAACACAGAAAAAACACACAGAAAACACGCACAGAAAAAACACAACCAACAACTAAACAGTAACTACAATGAAATTAAAATAGACAAAAAATACTAACAAACAGATAAACCGCAAAACAGACAACCAAAAACGCTAAAAACTGGCTGTCTAAATTTAATTCACACATAAATAGTAAAAAAAATACAACCAACAACAGTAAAATTAAAATAGAAAAACTACAATAACAAACACATAAACCATGAAACAAACCATACAAAACGCTGTAATTCAAGCAAAAAAGTTACTTTATGAAAAAATGAAAAATATTCACAGTATTAGAGAGCTTTCTGATTTTATTTTAAAAAAAAAACAATTACTGATTAGCAGTATACCTGAGATTTGCACTGTATTCCAGTTGTTTCTGGTTCTCCCTATAACATCCGCTGAACCAGAAAGAACTTTTTCTAAGCTGAAAATAATAAAAAGTTTTGCGAGGTTTACTATGTCCCAAAATCGCCTAAGCTCACTGGCCATAATATCAGTTGAGAATGATCGAGCAAAAGAGGTAGATTTGGACAGCCTCGTAAACAAGTTCCTTTTGTACTATACTAATAAATAAATGTTGAAACAATTATCAAAATATAAAAAAATATCATATTGTGGCTCTTGTTAAAAAATATGTTTCAAGCAGATATCACAATAATATACTTATCTAACCACAATTTTTCTTAACGGATGACAATCAAAGATCAAAATTACATTACTCTCAATATTTGAAACATAATTAGTCGAAAAAGTTTGTAAACTTTTTCTACTTATTGAATATTACTACCACTAATTTTGACGTTCTGAAACTTTTACATTGAAATTAGAGCAACATACCTAGAGAAAAAAAACTATATTCTACTAATTTCCAGTGTAATTGTAGCGAACATTTATTATATTAATTATAGAATTTAAACCTTAAAATTGTAAGTTAACAAACTCTTAATTTTTGCAACTAATATACAAAATTTGCGAGTAATACTATTTTGGTCTTTGATTATCAACAGTTAACAGAAATTGTGGTTTAGAAATGAAAAGTTTGTTGCTTTTAAAAGCTAAATATTAGGCTTCGAATACAACTGATTACTGCCAGCTGTTGCTAGGATATTCAATATTCATATTTATATAGTTGTATTTTTAGACATTGTGAATGATCGTAAACTTTTAAGTATAAAGTATTTTTGCAATCACTAATTTATTCCACTAATTTCGAAGTTCTGAGTGAAGCTTAATACCGTATATGATCGAAAAAGCACGGCGTCAGCGGTCAGCAATGGCTATGGAATAAAGAACGCTGTCATTTTATGTAAATTTATATGGGAAATGAATCTATCGTCATTTCCCAGCCAACTGGACGCCGTTAATTCTTGATCATACGGTATTCTATACTTATTAATTTTTGATGATATTTTTGTGCAGCGATGTGGTTCGATTAGAACGCCCCGAATTAGAAGATTTAAGAAACGAACTTATTCTTAGAATCAATAATGACAAAGCACAATTAAAGGAAATAGAAGATAGAATTTTATACCTCTTATATCATTCTGAAGGAAATATACTAGATGATGAGGAACTTATTGAAATTCTAAATGAGAGCAAGGTAAAATTTTATTAACATTTACTAAATATAAAGAAAAAGTTAAGATTGTAAGAATCATTTCTCTCTTTTTGCTTTCTTGTTCTTATTTTCTTCATATTATTTTATCTCCTACACTCTTTAATCCCAAGATTAGTTACTTATTTCAAGAATTATTTATTTCTATTGTATTCTTTTTAATTTTAGGAAACGTCAGCTATTATAGAAGCTAGATTAACCGAAACAGAAACAACGGAAGAAAAAATATCCATTACTCGCGAGAAGTACAGATCAGTAGCGAGTAGAGGTTCTGTGCTTTACTTTGTTGTGGCACAGTTAGCTGAGATAGATCCTATGTATCAGTATTCCCTTAAATACTTCTCACAGGTATCACCATCAATCTTCTCTCATACTCATATTATACAGGGTGGCGCACCTCATTCGCCTCGGTTGATTATACGAAAATGAAAAGATGTAGAAACAAAATATGTTATGGGTATATGCAATAACTCCTAAAAGATAAAGACAAAGTGCTTATGATTCAGTTCGATGTGACGTCATCACTAGTGGGACTTTATATTGTTATGATTTGCCGTTGATGCAACGACAACATTATACATTTAGCTAATATTATTGTTAAAAAGTATACAAATACTTCACTTTTGATAAACATTTTACGAAGAAAAATTAGTATTATTACAAAAATATTTTAATTTTCTTAATAAAAAGGCCACCTGATAATGTTGTGCTATAAATCCCGGCACGCGTCCTCTGTCATTTCGTCAGTTTCGCTAAGAAGCGTCGTGTTGTTTCTTAAAAGTTATAGATAATTCGATAACTTTTGAGTGTTTTTATGAAATTTGTTGTGTGTCTAAATTCCATGGAAATTAAGTGGGTGAACCTAGAGTGTCGGTGTTTGCTTTCCCAAACGATGTCGCGTTAAAAGCCAAATGGTTGACAAACATACCGCGGAAAAATTTTGTGCTGAATATGTATCATAAAGTGTGTGAACGCCATTTCCCAAAAGGTAGTGTAATTCGAAAAATCTCCCAACAGGATCCTAAAACAGGTAAGCTTCTTGAAGTAAATTTGCAAACGACCTCGCCTGAAGGAAAATGGCGTTCCTACTATTTTTCCAAATATGCCCGAAATATTTTACAAAATATACCTCTTCTCGCAAAAGTAGCGACGAAAAACTGCAGAAGCCTTACGACGTACAACTTCTACAAGCCATAGAAGATATTAAAGTTTTGTATTCTCGCCATAAAGAAACTACATCTTTTCAAAATTTTACTGAACTTTTATCTATTTTTAAAAGCATAGAGTTACAAAAAAGCTGGCATTCTATAAATAATAATAATAATATTATAATATTTAAAGTAGTATATGAACCTGGCTCTTTTATGGTCAATCGTTATTGATGATAAATTACTCATTAAAACGTTTTTATATGGCGAGGAAATACAAATTTCTTTTGATATTGATTCATCAAAAATTAAAACTTCATTTTCGTGTAATAATATAGATCAAATAAAGCAACTTCTTGACACTATAGACATAACATTAACATTACCTCTATCTAGATGAGCCTTTAAATGCCACGAAAATAATAATAATGCTGAGAGTAACACCAACACAGATAATTTACCAAATTTACATATAATTACAAAGATTATTAGTTTTATTACAAATATTCTAGAAAAATTAAAAACTTACAATGATGACAAATGGGTCCAAAATTTAAATTTTATTTCAGAACACCTCACCTTACTTATCACTTCAAAACAAAGATATTAATATTCAACAAACACCATGGTTCTCTGTTCAATTTTATATTCAATTAGTCCACATGCCTATAAATATTTAAGAGATTACGGATTTTGCATTTTACCTCATCCAGAAACTATTAAAGGCATTTGTAATAAATTTTTAACTGATCCTCATATCGACGAAAGAAAATGTTTTCTTACATATCCACAAATATTTTCAAATATTTGACAGATAAAGACAAATATGTTTGTTTACTTTTTGATGAAATTCATATTGATCCATATTTAAATTATAAAGGAGGAAATATTGTAAGTAATAATCAATTTCTGGCTAGTTCTGCATATGCATTCATGATAACTACTGTATGTTTAGAATTTAAAGAGATCATTCATGTGTCACCTGTTTCAAAAATAGATTCTTTTTTTCTGTACAATTTTTGATTAAAACAATAATTGAAAATTTAGAAGAAATAGGCTATATAGTTTTTTGTACATCAGTGACATTAATGCTATAAATGGGAAAGCAATGAGCCATTTTCATCCTAATGGCACACTTAGTTTTGTTTATCCACATCCAATTGATCCAATAAAACCATTATTTTATTTGTTTGATTCTGTACATCTTTTAAAGTGCATTTTTAATAATTGGTCGAACTCTAAGCCTTGTCAAAATTTACAATATCCTAATTTTACAACTCAAAAAGTAAATAAGATAGATAGATAGATAAATCTCAAAAAAACTCAAGATATTAAAACACTTAAATACTGCTAAATTTATCCTAATATAAACATGATTCCTAAAATACTTTTCTGAAGAGTCTTTATACTGTATTACATAACTATAATTTACTAGTTTCAATATTTATATAATATTGTGTTTTTTAAACAACTACCACTGCGAACGGCAGCTTTTCATTGGAGAGCAGTCGTGGATAAGGTATTTCACTGGAGGGAAAACTAATTAATAACGATAAACAAAAGAATATAGATATTGGACGCCAGGCATGTACAGAGAAAGAAAACATAGTTGTATATTACTTAAAACTAATGACTGTATTTATTCATGATGTTCTTTGATGGTAAATAACATTGCAGAATTCTAGCAACTATAATGGTTATATGTCGAAAAAAGTTATGTTAAAAATAGTACTAAATATGTTTTATGAAAACGACTATAATAAAATACAATACATGTAAAGTTATAGAAAATATATGAAAGATAGCATTACTCTATTTAATTTGTTATATTTTATACGGTATTAAATCTGAGATGTTTCAAGCCGTAGATTCTAGAATTGGTTCACACTGTTACACAACGTAATGTTCGCAAAGAAACTAAGATCTAAATCATATTTTGAATATTAAACTGACATAAAAAGGTTAACTACTAGACGTAAAGTCTGTACGATATTATTCAAGATGTATGTTATTGTTTTAAGACTGAAAATGTAACACATAAAAATCAGAACTTAGATCTAAACTTAGCTGATTGTTCTTGAGGCAATCCTGCTTCAAACAGTAACAGCGTGAGGTGGGCTTGCATCTCTGTACTGTCTCTCGGCTTTGTTGTTAGCCAATACAACAAAAGAGGCCAGGAAGAGGACACCATGAACTAATACAGCCGTAACTATTGACTAGGGTTAAAAACATGGAGCTTACGCTACATCCATACTGTGGCAATCTATACATGAGATAAACTATCTCGTACATGGGACACCTGTCCATAGGAAATCTGTACATAGGAACACTACCCGTACCTTGGAACACTACTAGGACCTTGGATAATGCCCGTAACTTGGATACTGTCCGTACCTTGGACATCCAACCATAAAATAATGTCCGTAACTTGGACATCCGTCCATAAGACAATGTCCGTAACTTGGACCATAACTTTAAACTCTAAAAATACGAAACTCTTGTTTAAAACCAAACAAGATCTAATAAGCAAAATAAACCTACCTCGAATTACTTCCGAGGGCTCAATAATAAACAAAGAAACTGTCTTTTCTTCCATGTAACATTCTGGAGGACAAAAGCAAAAGAACACCAATGTGCCAGCAAAATACAAATACGAGTTAAGGTGGGTCAATCCAAAACTCTACCCTAAAAATATTCAATAATAATAACGAATCTAATAAAGATAATAACTCATCTTTACCTGTGCCTCGAAATAGCAGCTGATTCAGATTATACAGCAAGATTTAAATAATTACCATTTCTAAAAGTCGGGTTTGCAACCTTGCCGCAAACCGGCCAAACCAAAAGTGAGGCTAAAGCGCAGAGAGGCGCCTTGAAACGATATTGACAGCCCTCCACAGAAGCAGTGAAACGATAACAGCGTTGTTGACTGGCGAACGTAAAAATTACGCCAAACGTTTCAAATAAAATATCAGGCCTGATCGATACGGAATCCGGTGACGATGCGCCAGACATCATATATTATATATGAAAGACATGTAACGAACTAAAAACGTTACAATAATTTTAACAAGAAAATAAATTGAAAACACAATAATACCTACCACAAATAATGTTAAATGCTATATTAACAGCTTACCCCTGTCTGCATAGAATTGATCAAGCGTATAAAATGCCTTGTCTAATAGATAATTTTTTAGGGTTAACAGTAATCTTGGTCTAGGTAAATCAGTAACTCAGAGTGGGAAAGTATTATATATGTTTATAATGCTGTGCTTCACATTCTTCTGTACATACGTGTAGTTGCTCTTGTCGGTTTGTAACATATCTCTATTTCTAGTAGACTATTGATGTTTTAACTCTGGTTCTTTAAAGAGACTTTTATTGTCGTAAACAAATACTACTGTGTAATAATACACTACTGTTATTCCTAATTTGTTTATTTAAACTTTAACTTTGTATAACAATGATTATTAACGTAATATGCGAGATAAATGTCTTGAGACGTGACGTGCTTTTGCGAGGAAGGATGACTAATAACAGGTAATAACGCCAAGCTTCTTGACTCTTCGATGGCGTTCTATTCGGTCGGTCCCATCGGGTCGGCGTGGTGGTGGAAGGCAACATGGTACACCAGTGGCGGCACCCAGGCATAGGATATTAAAGAACTACCGAATCCAGAGTATACTTAGAGATTATTTTTAGTATTTTCCTTTCTATGAAAAATTTGCGACAACTTTCACGATAAATTAATTTGAAAATGTTTCGAATACAGCGCTTCTGTATGTACATACAATCATTATCCTATTAACATCCGATGAGTTCCCCCAGAAGATCAAGCCATAGCGTATTACAGAGTTTATGTAGGCATAATACGTTGTTATTGCAACGTCCTCAGATATATTTTCAGAGATAGTTTTCATTGCGTAACTAAAACGAGCTATATTAGAAACAACACATGCTATGTGATATTTCCAATCTAACCTTCTATCTCCATTAATTCCCAGAAGTGATACATTTTCGGCAGAAACAATTTCGTTGTCATTATAGAGCAATTTAATAATCTCCCTTGTTCTGTTTCCGAATAATAATAGCTGTGTTTTTGAAACATTCAGTAAAAGTTTATCATTTACCAAAGTATTAACAGCCTTTAACTCCAGTTCATAATTATCTTTCTCACTAAAAACGATGTTTGCATCA